GCATGTGTGTGTCTGTTGGTGTGTGTGTGTACACACACCTTGTACTGATTTTAATATTTTATATGTATTATTTTGTACTATTTTTAAGCTTTGTAACCATGATTTATCATGTATACAATAAAGCATATTCTCTCTCTCTCTCTCTCTCGGTAAGCCACGCCCAAGTATTTCCTTTCCAAGCCTTCAAGAAACGAGCGATGTTTTTGATGGGTTCACCATAGTATGTCAAAGTACTATGACGCTTATTATTGTTTCTTGAAGTGGGGTAGATCTGATGAATTACTTTTTTTTCAGTTTTTTTTAAAGAAAGGAGTCGATAATATCTTTCTTGTAACCGTTGTTGACAACGATTTGTATCTACCTTGACCCCCTTTGTTGACAGGGATCTGCTCGACAAAATTCAGTTTCTTATTGAAATTACTATATCTGACAGTGGAATATTCAATAGTCAGTGAAGCATACTATTGAACTCTGTTCAATGTAGGAGTCTATTGAGGAATTATGTATGACAGTGTCCATACAAGGTGTTTTGTGAAAAATTGCAAAATCATGTTTATTATTCATTTTAGTAATAGTTACGTCTATAAATCTTATTGAATTATTTACCACCATTTCAGGGCTGAATTTATTTAATGGCGGATGAAACTAACAAATTAGACAAACTGCCTATATGTATCAGTAAAACAGATTAACATATCATCTACGTATCTGTACCAGTATAAGAAACTGTTAATCAACAATAAAATTTTTCAACTAGCAAAGGACTCTAGGCTATACGTTTTCGTGCAATAATCTGAATATGATGTTGGTTTCACTAAAATGAAACATACAATCGAATCACAACAATATTTTACTTTATCGCCATGTCAGTTAGAACGCAAATAAAACACGCGTCCTCTACACGACGAATATAAATCGATTTCAATAGTGTTTCTTGAAGAAGTGTTTTTTCTATCTGCAAGTAGTGTATTTTGTTTCTTTGATATTAATATTTGGAAGATCATCAACATGATATTGCGATAACATAAGGAATGAGATATGACCTAGCAGGCATCCTTGAGATACTTCATTTATATCAGAGAGATAAGAACTGAACCGATCAATAGCTGGTATTTGAAGGACTTATGGATAATCTATGGACGAAACATAAGAAAACAAATGCCTCCAAAAGTAAATTGAAACGAATGATTCTCAAGTAAAAACAGGTCCAGGAAAGTCTTCAATAACAAATCTTGAAAAAAAAAACAGTCAAAATAAAAAATATTATCATCAACTTGGTCAAAAATGAAGTTGAAGATGAAGAGGGTTTCCAAGCCTCTCTGCCTGCAGAAATAGATGGGCATGTTTTTTACAACAACCTATCAGAGAGAAAATCATACCTACCACCGAACAAGTTGGTAATATGGTAATCAAAGATTATATTCATAGATGTATGATTTAAAAGTAGATTTTAAAATGTTTGTCTCATATGACTTATGAAAATAAGAGGTATGTTCAGAAAATATCGGGAATTTTTGTATTTTGAAAAATATTTAGTAATTCGTTAATATTCATGTTGTCTCTTTCGAAATATGCCACATTAGAAATTATGCACTTGTGCCAGCGCTTCTTCTAATCCTAGAAAAACGTCCCAAACTCGATCTTTGGGATAGCCTACAGCTATTCCAAAGTTAGCCGCAGGCGCGCTTCAAATCATCTATGCTTGTGAAACGACAGCCCCTGTGAAACAACGGTCCCTTGAGGTTCTCTTTTTTTTTTGAAACAGAAATAAGTCAGGTGGAGCCGTCTGACGAATATGAAGACTGGGGCATCGTTGGAGTATTGTTTTTGGCAAAAAATCCACGTAGAAAAAGTGAAGCGTGAGCGGGTATGCACCTGGTCACACTTCACTGTGCCAGAACCATGAATTATTTTTCCGCAAATCCGGGCGAGATAATGTGACTGCCTTCATTGAGAGCATGTTCGGCCACAGCTGATTTGTCAGTTTGAACGAGGTGACAAATTCCCTTGTGTTCAGAGAGACAGGCACCTATACTTTTTATCGAAAGGGCACCCATTGAGGTACTGCTTCAACCTCCCGCTTTGCCTTGTCTTCGGACCTTTTCTTGAAGAACACAGGTCACAGCGCTTACCCATCTTCCACGTCTAGGCGGCAATGTAACGTTTTTCCCTGTGGGTTGACCAATAATTGACCACACTGAACAATAATCAAACTTAACTTTATTTCACTTTAAATACAACAAACACTTCAACTGAAACTTCACTTCAACTGAAACTTCAACTATTATTCGAATGTCTATCGCCTTACTAGATCGCTCCGCGTACCGAACTGTAACTTCTACTTGACTGTCTCCATTGGCGAGTGGATGACACTTATGTTTAAATATGTTTTTTCCGTTAACCAGCTATCGCACCCCTACGAACGACAACCCGCAGAAGTCGAAACTTGTGCGAGCTAAGGACTAACGAGGTCTTATCTTTTAACGTGTGATTCCTAACACAGGTTGGACGATAGTAAGTGATAATCGAGCGTTCAGCCTGGGGCTTGAACCGTCGACTCACACATCGGCCGATTGACTGAGTGAACAAAAAGCACCCACGTCGAACCGCCCGGCTAGCGACCGGGCAACCGGACGCTGGAAAATTCCTCGGAATTCTATCGAAGTCGGTAGCATTATTATAGAAACAACTCCACGTCTGAAACAGCAGCGAACATCGAACATTTGCGGGCTCTTAGCTACATTACAATTGGTTTATGGCTGCCAGTGGCGGCCGGCGTTATTTTTTTTAGGGCATGATTTACAATAGTATATTCACTTTGTTAAACTCCAAACCAGATTCAAAAAAGAATTTTTTTCCAGGCTATCTTTAAATCATCGAAATTATTATCATAGTACTAATAAGAACCACATATTTCCAGCGTTTAATTTTTGGCAACACTGATATCTGATATATACTATTAAGAAGAAACAATGTAATAAACTTTGAATTTTCCCACGTTTAATGAAATGATTTTCATTGATTGGTCCCAGAACATCTCAAGCAGTTGAACAGATCAAACATATGGTAATTTATACTGCATATAAATACAATCATAATAATGTATATAAGTATTAAATGAGATATCTGTGACAAACTCACCTGCATATCTGGAAGAAATCGACAATGTAGGCGAATTCAATGCCAGCTGAGACGGACTTTGGAGTGGTGCATAAGGATGGGAACTTATTGGAGTTGAAGCGTTAGAAGCTGTGGGACTTTGTATAAAATTCAGACCCAACAGATCACTACTGGGTTTTCCCAGATATTGTGAGACAGATTGTGATCTTTTCATTGAAGGATCTGTTTCTAAGTTTGATCCGCGCCTGGCGAATCCTCCTGTCGGAGACAAACGAATACTTTCTACAGTTGCTCTCAATTCATCAACAGAGGCCGACATGGGAGCAGAACCATTGTTCAAGGGTTTTATTTCGACATGTATTTTGCGCCCCCTCTCATCATCTGAAATGGAGAAGCATACTTTTAGGATTGCATTGAATCGAATCAATACATATTTTGTTGGTATGAAAATGAATTCGTATTCATTCAAAGAATTCATAATTATCAGAACTTATTTTGATATAATATTGAAAGTGTGAATTGATCAAGATCTCAAAATATTGTCTCTGAAGTTATTCAAGATGTTGTATGAATCAAAGACCGGAGTATCTAGTAAAAATGGATCAAATACATAGAGATGAATTCTTTAAAGGAAATTTGTCAACTTCCAAGAATTGGATGACTTTTCCAACTATACCGGGTGTCCCACATTTTATGTGACAGGCAATATCTGGTTTGTTGAAGGAGATACACAAAAATGTTTCATACAAAAGTTTTAGGAGTTCATGAGAGCTATATTTTGATATAATTTTTAAATATACAGGGTGTTTGGTGTAGGTGCTACAGACCAAAATTCCATTTTTTAAAATAGAACGCCCTGTATATCATTAC